TCTACAACAACCACCCAGCCTACGCAGCATTTCTATCCTGGGGCAGATGCTGTGTAAACCATGGCTTGCATTCCCCAAAACTCTACAGGTACCCTTTGCGGTCGCCGGAAGCATTCCCAAATGTTTGTAATTAACATAAGTTACGGGCTGCTGTTTTTATGTGTAGCTACAACAAAAACAACAACAACAACAACAACAACAACTACAACTACAACTACAACAACCACAACCACAACCACAACCACAACCACCACAACCACAAGGACCACAACCACCGCCACCACGAAGAGATAAAAGAAGAAGAGCCAGACAACAAGCACCAGGCTTCTGATCCTGCCGTGATGGCCTTCAAATCAACAACGGAAACCGAAGAATGTGCAAAGCTGGAAGCTTCGAGAAAGATGGCACAGGAGTGGTGCAGTCGAGCGCGATGTGAGCATAGTCAGACGGGGGATGCCTATGCGGCGGTTGACGAGGAGGATGATGCTGCGGGTGGTGATTATGACGATGGCTGCCATCACAAGGAGGGACAGTGACGATCGTGAAGATGACGGGGATTTTCCTTCTCATCACAAGCATCAGCATCATCATCAGCATCATCATCATCATCATCATCATCATCATCACAATGCTCGTCGTGATCATGAGGATAACCACGATGACTAAGGACATTATGACCCCGGCGACGATTGAGACGTGACGGCGATGTCCGTCACCATCGTCATCACAACCACAGGAATTTGCCGTGACAAGTGTAATTAGGGCCTTCCGTCCGATGTTCCAAAGCCATTCCCGAACCCCTCGAAGACATGGGTCACCTCGCTATAGCTTTTTAGCTCACTATGGAGGCTCTTCTTGCAGTGGTGTCCGTGAATTAGATTCTCGTCCTACCATCATCCTGCAAAGCACAGCCCGGTCCTGGCAGAAGGCCTTGAAGTGCTGTCGATTCAGCCACAGGCAGCCATAGTCCAGCCTCGGGAGCTCGACAACAACTCGACAGTGTCGAGTGTGACATACGAGTTGGGGCTGTCTCGAAATCATGTCGACCGCAATGGGCCAGACTGCCGGGCCGCTTGACCCCCCAAACAGCCTTAACATCAAACGGCCCCTACCCTGAGTCTGGAAGCCCAACGAATCAGCACCACAACAATCTTGCCTTCACAACTGTACGTCTTACCACCATTCAAAAATTTACGTCGGGCCCCGCCCGAAACCCCCTCCTTCTCAAGGGTCAGTTCAAGGTTTCGGGTGGCTTGACGGCTTGAGGTGGGTTGGGTCAGGCTGGAGGATACTATTTTCAGAGCTGGTGGGCTCTGATGCAGGATGTAGGTCCTACATATAAAACCCTACTACAGCAAACCCTCAACCCCAAACTTCCCTAAGCTTTAGGGGGCCTAGGACCCAGCTCTGGGGCTTGTCGTGGCTTTGGCGTTAGAAGGGCCTCACTCCGACCCTCTGCTCGGGCCCCCACTTCTTCCAGAAGGTCAACTGGCCGGGGTGAGCATCACAAATACAGCTAGGGTTTAGAGTTTAGGGTTTAGGTTTAGGGTTTAGGGTTTAGGTTAGGTTCTCGTCAGAGGCTATTTATGGTACAATAGCATAGTACGTATAAGAACTACAGTTCCGTATAGTAAAGTCACCATTCATGTAAGTGACTGGGCTTGGGGCCGACCTTTTGACAACAGCCATCATGGGCAGTGGTAAAATAATGCTAAGTTTCAAAAAAACGTTGAAGGGAGCCAGGTACAGTACGTCATGATAGAACAAGCTGAATCGGCGGCGGAGTATTTCATAAAAAATCAATATGCACTGCGCCACTCCTGCTACATACAACGTAACTAGCCACTAGTCTGGCTCATCCCGTCTGAAATATAGCGAGGAAGGCATCAAGGTCTGCAGCCTTAAGTCCTATATCCTGATCAACCAAAAAGCGAGAAACCCCTGAGCTTTGAACATACACGCACAAACACACACAAGAGACACACAATGCCAGCCCCAACCGCCGCCTCCAGAGAAAAGACTTGCGATGGCGTCAGCACGGGAAACCTTTGTGTGCGAGGAGCAGTAGTCTTCAAGATTGGACCACTGGGATTCCTAGATTTTTTGTCGTCGCCAGCGATTGTCTACGACTTCGGTGCAGTTCTGGAGAAAAGGGGAGGACCTGCTGCATCTAGACACTAGACCGGCCAAATCCTAAGAAGAGCGCTTCCTCAATTTGTGGGAACTGAACGTCATCATGATCACTATCTTTATGTTCTTCTTCATGATCAACGTCGTGACTGTCTTCGAAACCACGACCGGACACGATCGCCATCGTCATCAGCACAAACGTGGCGGCGAAAACCCTTGAGCCCTGAGCATAAACCTTACAAATATCTGGTCCTAACTTAAACACCTAACCGTAAGCTTAAACCTGAACCCAAACCTCCCCCCTCCCCCACTCCCCACCCGGCCGAGGCATAAGCATGGACTGCTCAGCCATGGAGCTGCCCTTCACCGAGCTGTCGATGAGGTACTTGTCCTGGCGATCAGGTTTTAGGGAGGTTTCGAGGGGATAGGTAGCCAGTATTAGGGACTTGTTCAGTAGAGAAGGATTTTAGACTGCACTCCACTCACCTTTGGGGACTATACTCAAGGGGATATTAGGGGTTCCAGGTCTCGGTGTGGGGTCGGTTGTTTCGGAATGGGTTAGGAAGCGTTCTTAAGTCGCCGTCAAAGTTACCCTTTCAACTCTAGGCAGCCATAGAACAGGGGGTGTAGTGTTCTGCGATTTGGGGCTCTTGTGCTTTGGGCTTGCGTGTGTGTTCCTGTCACCTCGGCTCTAGCCAGAAGCGGTTGGCCTGGACGGAGGTGCAGGGTTCGGGATGCCTGTGTGTGGTGACGTCAGCACCGCTTGCACCTTGTGATTAATGTCTCAAGAAAGCAGGAAGGAAATGAAGCACAGCTCAACTGCAGCCTGCGACATCACGGCGGCGGCAGAATGCGTCCCGAAAGTATCGCTGAAGTCGTAACCGAATCCTGAAGCCACAATCCCAAACCGAGGGCAAGGACAACATTAGCCGAGGTGGCCGTGACCAGAAGAGCTGCCACAAAGAGAGGCCTTCAGCGAGCGGTTCTCTGGGCTACGGGACGCTGATCCTGATGAAGGCAACATTCACTAGCAACATTTATGTTTGTCAATAATGGACTCGTACTAAACGAATACTGCCAAAGCTAGGACATCATGATGATGGCACTGTAACCGCTGTAACCTGCCTCCAGCAGAGCGCATCCAGACTAAGCCCGGTCTTCTCCCGGAAGCGGCGCAGGAAAATAAGGCCTCGCAAAACAGAAACGCTGCCAGGAGCAATGAGAGCCTAAAGCCCTATGGTTAATGGTTTGGGGCTTGGAATGCAGGGATGTGAGGCCTCGGGTGTCGAAACCTACGGGTTGGGAAGAAAATCCTGCACTTTGAGGCGTAGGGGATCGTAGGGGTTGGGGATTGCTTGTCGAGGGTTGGGGTCGATGGCTCTGGGTTTCAAGGCGCTGGCTTTGCGCCTCATTGTGTGGGACGTGGGGCATCAGGTTTCGGCGGCTTGGGGCTGCATCGTTTGGGCAGGCACAAGATGCCGTACCCAATTCGTAAAGCTCGAGCTCCTTATGCACAGCAGGCATATATATATATACACACGCACATACACATACATATATGCATATCTTATAAAAACATATGTAGCGCTGTGCTATTCGTCGACGTACCTTCATGTGTAGCCCTGAACCGCAGAGCGGTTAGAAACCTCAAGAAGCTTTGTCATCCCTGCCTGACGCATCCTGAGGCGCTGGCAACATATCAACTCCGAGACCTTCCGCGCATCACATCGGCTCTTGGGCTTGGCTGGACTTCAGGCTCTTCAGGGCTTGAGGAGTTGTAGAGGATGACGGTTTTCATTTTTCACCCTGCAGTCTAGAACCCTTCCTTGTGATAGAAGGTACCCCAACTTGCTGTAACTTAGCCTGGGTGGTTGTCTGGTCTTGTGGAAAACCGTCGTTTGTTTGCTCGACCTATAGAGAACAGGGATTTGGGTTTCGACAGTTTTAGGTTTTGGGTTCAGGGTCCAGGGCATTGCAGGCTCAGGGTTACAGGCATTGAGCCAAACCGGTTCTGCATCTTCATCGCCACCTACTTGGGAATCAATGGCTGTTTACAGTTAGCTATCATTGCAACCACGGAACATGATCGCTACTCGCCTCAAGCTGGATTCCTCCAATAAACTCCCTAGCGAGGGGCAGGTCCACAGAGTAATGTTTTGTTCGCAATCTTGCAGTTCGTATTCTTCGTGCTTGTCTGCGGATGTGGGAGAGTCTGCAATGACTGCAGAGTTCGACTGAGTAGGGTCTCAGCGGCTGAGGTGTGGTTATTGCTAGGACCCGGTGGTAGGTAAGGAACCCACCTCGAAGAAGCCATTCTCGAAGAGGCCAAGGATGAAAGCTGCGATCTGAGCGGCGAAGCATCCAGACAGATAGACAAATACATGAGTGTACATGTTATGTATGCATGTATGTATGTATATCTATACATATATATATATATATGTATGCCGCCCCCACCCCCCTGGACCAACCTTGCACATGAAATCTTATACATTCCCAAAGTTCCAAAGCTCACGATACTAGTTTTTGGAAATCCTACAATTCCAAAACTTCCACACATTCCAAAAATTCGGCGCGGCTGTTTTCGGAAGTTTGGAAATGTAAGAATCACGAGGATCCGTGTTAAACATAACATGTCTTATATGGGCCCTAACTTTTCATGTGAGATGTTGGTCCATAACCTTTACAATCATCAAACCTTTGTCTGCCCACACCCTTTGATATATGGGTGGTTGTCAAAATTATGGTCCCTTTTTGGGACCTTATTATAATACGGCACCTATTCTTTAGGGTACCCCAAAAGAGACCATAATTTGACAACTACCCATATAAGCATGATTATATATAGGTTAGACGCTCATACTGAGATTTATACTCCTACGAATAAACATATTCATATGCATATAAATATTCATCTTAATACTAGTAATATTACGAATACACCCAAAACGAATACTAATATTCTTAGTATTACAATAATACTAATATTCACATCAGTAGTAAGACTAAAACTAGCTTGAAAACTAATGTTCCTGCGACTACCAATAAGCGTAGTCCTAGAAATAGCAATATTAAAACTCATACTAATATGAATAATAATGATAAGGCTGAGACCAATGCGAGTGCATGTATGTGTATATATATATATATACACATATTAATACAACTATTATTCATGCGAGCAAAACTATTCATCTGCTTCCTGCAGCTCTGGGGGGTTAGATGGACCTTTGGGGTGCCAAAAGTCCCAAACGTCCGGAAAGCGCCTCCAGGGGATTGGTGTCGCCCAGAGATTTTCGCCACCCTCCTGGGTGCTGGGCTCTTTGTGTATAGCTCTTCGATATCAAGATGTGGAGTCCTTTAGTTCGGACTCTTTGGGTTTGGAGTTTAGGGTTTAGGGGTTCAGGAATTTAGGGTTTAGAGGTTTAGGGTTTTAAGGTTCATGGTGGGGTCTTGTTGAGAGTAATGCCACCTTCGGGCTGGGCACTGCTGACGAGTGGACGACATAGGAACAATCAGGATCAACAATGATAGTATACCCTCGTCGTCCGTATATCTTGACCATCGAAATATCCTCAAACATCCATTATAAGTAGCATGAAGGCCTCTATATTCGAGGTTGTCAGCAACCGGTAGGCTAGTCGCAGAAGCCGCCCGTGTGGACGTGCACCTGCTAACCTACCTCGGACACCTTATTCTCTAACTGTCTTAACACTTCTAGGGTTACTTTACGGATTGCTACATGGGTTACGACAGTGGCTTCTGCGGCTGCAGTGGTAAACTCCAAAAAGTCGCAGAGCCATTGCATCGTGGGCTTCTGGCTCAAAGCTCGAAACTACGGCTTAGGGTTCTGGTTCACAGGTCTCAGTTTCACCCCTAAACCCCGGCCCTAAACCCACTGTTGGGGGCTCGAACTTACAACTTCCCGGACCTTCCCCATAGCCCCCCTCGAGGCCATCACGGAGGTCTGTGTGGCAGTTGGACAAGTGATACCGCTCCTGTGGGAAAGGAGGAAGGAGGATCTGAGCCAGGGCTTAGGCTGCTGAGCTTACTGTAGGGTGCGGTCGAGGCTTCTGGGGTTCAACTACTTGTTCCGACATGTTCCGACGGGTCATGACATCGCAATGTCACATCCTAGGCAACTCACCGACCGATTCAACCTCCTTCACCCCTATAGGCATCCATGAACTACCTGCCGAACGAAGCCGCCCCAAGGCCGCACTCTGACTCCAACGCAGAAACCGTTTAAGCTCACGTTGTAGCAACAAAGAGGCTTATGTTTCAAACTGAAGGTGTAGGGATGTGTGGCTCCTCGTTGTAGAGGTCGCGGAGGCCCTGTGCTTCCTCACAGAGCTCTTCCTTGTCTCTGCGGAGGATCTCCTGTCGTCTTCTGCTTGGAAAGGATTGCTGGGCAGCTGCAGAACCCTCAACCGCCTACACGTCCCGGCATGCGGTTGCGGGGAAGACTTCTACGGCTTGGCTTCTAACAGGGTTGGGTCCTAGAGGGGTTGGGTGCTCACACCTTGGACGGAACAGTGCAGAAGTCCTGGTGGATGAAGCAGATACACCGGACCAGCAGTGACAGCCTGATGCAACAAGCAAAAAAATCACACCCTTCGAGGTAACAACACTCCTCCGAGGACCCTGGGCGGCTGGACATGGAGCTTCAACACGCGTTGAAGCATCGTGGATCATAGTGGGCTCTACGCTTGGGGATCCCGAACGTGCTCACGACGCCGTGACCGTAGTTCATCAGCTGTATGTGCACGGACGTGTTGCATGTCTGCGAAGAACCTTACGTAGTGTGTAAGAGTGAGGGTGTTCCGAGGCTGCTGCCTGTGCTCTCACATTCCCTCTGTCTCTGTCTTGTCTGTGCCGAAGCAAATTTAATCTCCAAGTCTTCAAGTCTTCATCTGATTCCAGGCTAAAAAAAGAACTGCACAAGAGAAGCGAGTGCCGGCTCACCTGTGAATATCCATGACTCCGAACCCTGAAATTACAACTTGGCCGGAGAAGCTTCATCTGGTTGAAGGATCTGCTTGGTGCCAGCTCATCGTCATCACCTCAACAACCGCACTCACTCTACCGTTTTCTGGCAGATGCGGCAACTGACGGCAGTCAATCCTGAACAGGAGTTGATAGTGGGCAAGCAGCCTGATGCCGAAAGACTTCAGAAATCGTGAGAGGTCAACTCAAGTAACCCAAGCGCCGCACTGCCCATCATCACAACTAGTGTCACCGAGGATATCACCATCATCATCATCATCATCATCATTATCATCATAAGCACTGGCGAGTGGTGGGTACCATCGCCAACACCACTTTCGCCGCAAACAACAACTTTAATCAGCACCGTGAACAGGTAACGTCGTCACCCGATGCCACCAGCGACAACGAGATCATTATCATTATCATCATCAACCCCATCACCGTCACCATCATCATCATCATCATCACCATCATCATCACCATCATCATCACCTTCACCATCCTCATCACCATCCTCATCACCATCACCATCACCATCCTCATCACCATCCTCATCACCATCACCATCACCATCCTCATCACCATCCTCATCACCATCACCATCATCATCATGATCACCATCTCCATCATCATCACCATCACCATCACCGCCATCATCGTCATCGTCATTATCATTATCTTCTCGTAACGTCATCCACTACCGCATCATCGACAGTTGCTAGATCATTGCTTCCGTCATCGTCGTCTTGTCCTCATCAACATCACCCTGGCCATACTAGTAGTGATGTCGACCTCCATCGCAACATACGGCAGAACTCAGCCTGCACAAGTATCATTCCTGCCCGAGCTCTGCACTGAACTCTGCATGGTCGCGCCGCCTCGTCCGCTTCTGGGCCTCGCAGAGGCTCGACATGATGACTTCATATTGGACACCGTAAAAACAAGCCCCCGAAAACCACCAGGTGTTGCGAAGACAAGACATGCGCTGCGAGGCGCCCTCAAGCCAACGTGCCCTAAATACCGCCTTGAATGGCAGAGCAATAAAATGAGTCCAGCACGGAGGCCGAAGAGCCCCCGAAGTTGTAGTGGACGGGGAGATTGGCCAAAGGCCTGGGGCATGCGGAGACGAGGGTAACAGTCCTACGGCGGTGCTTCAGGGATGGCTTTCGGGTTGCACGTACGTCCGGTGCTGACCTTGCATGCTGATTGTACGTGCCCCTTCGTCTTCATGGACTTTTCGAGATTGCTGGTCGTGCCTGGTCGAACATACAGCCGTGCATGCAAGTTACACGTCTTGAGTTGAGCCCTTCAGCACTTTGTCTGAGCTTGCTTCAAGGAGAGAGTCTGACAAAAATCTCGCCCGATGTGGCAGCCGTTGGCATGTCTTAAAATCAGGCCGAAGAAGGGACACATGAGCTGGGTGTCCCCCTAAAAATGCCAAAGCCCCCGCCCCGTCCGACCCAAAGAACATAGAACCCGATTCTCGAACACGACGAGTCATCATTTGGAGCGGCTTGCGGAGGCACACCAGTGGCACACCCTACCCATAGGCCCCATAGTAGTTCCTTTTTGGGGTTCATATTTAGAATCCTATAAGGTAATCCCAAAAAGGAACTACTATGGGGCCTATGGGAATGGCTCAGCCTTCATGACCCTCGGCTCTGGCAAACCGCAAGAAAAGCCAAGGACATCTTGGTTAAACTTAGCAGCTGTGAATCGCCTTTATCCCATCTCCTCTACAGTTCCTGAAGGTCCGATTCAAGGGCCACGGAACTCTCAAAAGAACACGACCCTGAGACAAAAGGCAGCCTCTAAACCCTAAACCCCTAAACCCTAAACCCTAAACTTTAAACCCTAAACGCCGAAACCCCTAAACCCCTACTGTTAAGGCCAAAGGGCTCAGCAAAAGCGCCGGTGCTCGGACGGGCGCTCGCGGGCTGCGGCTTCGGCCGCTGCTGCAGCGGTTGCTGAAACTGCGGCTGCGGCTGTCTGGGCTGCGGCTGTGGCTGAAGGGACCTCGAGTTTAGGGTTATAAGGATTATAAGGGTTACAAGGGTTATAAGATGTTATAAGGGTTTAGGGCTATTAGGGTTTAGGGTTATAACGGTTTAGGGTTATAAGGGTTATAAGGGTTTAGGGCTATTAGGGTTGAGGGTTATAACGGTTTAGGGTTGTAAGGGTTTAGGGCGTAGAGGGTTTGGGGCGTTGAGATGTATTCGATGACAAAACACTGTCCAAAGCAACACTGTCGGTGCCAGAGTAAGCCGCCAGCTGCCGTCCAGCCGTGACCACCTGCCCCAACATTATAGCAGCATATGGTAGACAAAAAACTTACTTGATGCAGCTGTGCTCCCTGATACTTGCTACATATTAGCTAGATGGAGAAAGGATAGTTTAGTATCTTCAGAACTGCATCCTCGGACCTTCATCGCAACCTACCCTGCAGCACATGGCATATAACATGACAGCACTCTGCCTGAGGCTGGCCGCCGGACGGTGGCCTTGTGAGGGTTCAGCGTCGTTCCAGGCTAGCTTCGGGTTTTGGGGAAAATGGTTGGTTTCAGGCTTGTTCGGGGTTGAGACTTTGCGCCCAGTTTCAGAATCCCTTGTGCGAACAGCCATGTAGAGTTTGGGTTTCTTGAGGACTTCGGCGACCTCGAAGTCACCGGGCACTCCGTCACCCCCGAGGCGCTGAAGCCCTAATATAGGGCCCTAGATAATTACCAAAACTGCAAATACTATTTTGGGGGTTCCTTATTATAATTACGGTATAATGGGCCCCAAAACCCTATTCTAACTATTGAGGCCCCTCTATTGTAGTGAGAGTATATAATACACCTCATAACCCTATTCTAATTATTGCTATTGAGGCCCCTATATTAATTATTCTTCACCCCTCGGCTTTGGAGTCCCTGAGGGCAAACACCGCTGCGGAGAGATCTGCGTGCGGCGTTCCTTTCGTCTTCGGCTCAGAGATAACCGGATAACCTGATAACTTATTACACTACCTACTATGATACTGATAGTAATGCTAACATAATACTGAATATAGCACTAATATAATACTAAATAGAATACTAAGCCTTAGAGGTCAACCGAGCTCAACGGTTTGGGCTTCAAAATTGGCCTGAAGCCCGAATCCCAAATGCGAAACCCTGAACTGAAAACTGCCAATGCCTCAAGCCCGGAAGACCAAGACCTACTGTTGATGAAAAAAATCCTGCAGTACCTTAAGGACCCTAAACTATGGGAATAATGGTGTGTGTGTGTATATATATATATTCCTTATTATGGGTAATGCAGGATTTGTCATCAGCCTTAGTAGGCTCCTACACCTCTAAAGCCTTGAAGCCCAAAGTCACCAGACGGGCCTGAACACCAATACTATTCCTGATAGGACTCCTTCCCCAGTCAATAATGTTAGCGTGTATATATATATATAATGTGCATATAAGTATACACACACACGATACCCATAATCTTTCATAAGTAGTTCTGGCGCCCCAAGCCTAAACTGTAGCTCCACAAACCCCAGAGCCGAGGTGCAGGGAGTGATGGGGCCGCCGGTACAAGCCATTTTGGACCATGTAGTCTTGTGGAGGCCTCACTAAGCATGGAGCATTTAGGGTTTAGTGGGTTTAGGGGAGATGATCACTACCCAGGGGCTCCAATGTAGTTCCTTTTTGGATCAAGTTATGGTTTTTTGGTTAGGAATTATAGTATACTGTCCAAAAAGGAACTACATAGGAGCCCTTGGGTAAGCATGAGCATTCAGGGTTTAGGGGGGTGTAGGGCACAAGAAAGGCAAGGGGTTTCGGGTTTGGGGCATGGGGCTCCGGTTGAGGGGTGTTTAGTTGTCAGGCCTTGGGAATGTTTAGGGTACAGGGTTCAGGCCTTAGGACTGTTTAGGTCATAGCGTTCGGGATATTTACGGCAGCGGTTCGTTGTAGGGTCTGCGGCACATGATTTGGGGTCCAGCCTCCGGACGCTTCCAGAACATGTCCCGGCAAACACTGACGGCGAAGGCAGTCGAAGGTCAAGACTATGCTGCTGCACCGTCTACACTAGTTTTGGCCCAGAACCCAGCTCTTGCGCAAGGAGTGTCATCTCAGCTCAGCTCGCAATCAGCGAATCAAGTATCCAAAGCCAAATCCAAACGGAGTTTCACATACCCTCTGCATCCCTGAAGCGTATACGTCGTGGATCCAAAGTGGACAAACTCCAATCCACGAACTCCAATCTAGCAGCCAGTTCGAACCGATGGATAATCGATACAAGAATCCCCTGGGTTTGCATCATTGGCATGAAAACTAAGAATGATTCCGTCTGGGGTTGAAGACCCTAAGCTCCAATTGGACCCTGAAGAACCTACCGTTTCAGGGCTCCTTAGTATATATGATTTCCTCATGCAACACGCGAAAAAGGTAGGTCATTCTCTATTTTGAATTCGAATATTAATATACTTAGAATAGTCCATTCAGATTATTAATATGCTGCATAAAAGAAATAACCGCAGCCCCAACAATGCCAGGTCTGGAGCGGTCGATTTCGTGTCGTCTGCGCCGCAGGCGCCGACGAGGGCGGAACCATTGGTCTGCCACCTGAATACGAATATAGGGGTCTTAATGATTAGAATAGGGTTTTGAGATATATTATATACTATATCTATAATAAGGAACCCCCCCCCCAACATAGTATTGGTAATCATTTCGGCCCCTATATTGCCTATAGTCTCCATTGTAGTTCCTTTTCGGGGGCTACCGTATAGGATCTTAAATATAAAGTTGGTTAAACCAAAAACGAGCTACAATGGAGACTACACGTAAACTTAGAGTTTAGGGTTTAGGCTCTTTCCTCAACTAGCGGCCTTTGCAGTTTCAGAGGGGTCGTGGAAATTTTCGCCAGGGGTTAAAGTAGGGCCATAAGAAGTTGAAACAAGGGTTCTGGGGGATAGTATACTATGACATGACGAGTCTTCCTTAAGAGAATCCCAAGGACGAGTACCACTGTTCATTCAGGCCCCCCTATATTGGGGCATTTGGGGCTTGACAGCCTGGGATGAAGAAAGTAAGGGAATGCCCTTCAACCCTACCTGTAGTTTCTATTGTAGTTCCCTTTTTGGCTGAACCAAATCTACATGTGGGATCCTAGGAGGTACCCCAAAAAGGAAGAATGGAGGCTAGAGGTAAGATACGGAACGGCTATGCCCTTTTTGCGAAGTTCATTCAACGGAAACCTTAATTTTTTGGGACGACCTGGGCTGCTCTGAGCTGCCTTTATTTCGACAGGATTCGGGGTACCAGGAACATCTAGGAACCTTGGTCTGCGTGTCTCGTCCCACTGGACTTGACTGCTTCAAGGATTTGGTTGTATTGTAGCAGAGACGATTGAACAACGACTGAGGTTTGTGGTGCTACGGCCCGCAAGGGTTCATGGGTACTTATGGTTTTTAACCTCAAAGGCAAAGTCCTCGCTCCAATCGATCGGCCCATCTCTTTGCACGCACATGGCCCGATGGGAGGCATCGACAGGCTCTGACAACTTCTAAAACTACGAACAATGCTCGCCGCCGTTCCTCCGCAGCTGCGCTTTCTGTCGTTTTCAGCTTGGGCACAGATCCACGAGGTGTCAAAGACCGGATCGGGCGTGCTCCGGGAGTCCTATTTTGCCCAAACTGCCCAGACCCACCTGGGCACCAAGGCAGCTCGTTTCTTGAGCTGAAAGCATCCCTACTATAAAGGAGTAATGCCGGCGATGATGCCAGGTTTTGGATACCCGATGGAAGTGAGGTACGGGGCCAGGCAGCAGGTCTCGTAGGAAGGGCGACGCTTCCGGCCGAAGCAGCTGTATTCGGACACAATCTTGCCACAGCAGAGTGTTTCTATCCACAACATTTTCACCTCAGGCTGAGTGTCGCTCTCGCACGGGTACTGCTTCGTGGAACATATGTAGTCAATTGTCGCACGCCAGCGGTCGAACAGCCTCAGAGTCCGATTGCTTGGGAAGCACTGAGCTTGCGATGGCAACTCTATCCATGCCTCAGAGCGAGCATAGACGCAGTCATGCTCTGCGCCGGAAATCGCCCAGCACCTCTCGTGGCGGAACCCGAGGTGTTGCAAGTACTCCTCGGTTTCCTTGCGCGTGTGCTGGCCGGAATATACTGGACGAGGTGTGTCGTTCGGAATCTCCATCACAATCCGATCTACCCGCTTGAGCTCTGTGCCAGCAGACTTTACAACTTCAAGATCAGCGCCCTGGACATCAATTTTCAAGATCTGCACTCGATCTGGCAAAACGGCCAGGATGTCTGTAAGGGACACCACAGCCACTTGCATCGTCTCATGGGCAGCGAGATGTTTTCTTGGATCAGCCTGCAGCAAGGAACCTTAGTTCTTTAAAAGCCCCCAGTGAAGAGAAGCTAACCACTTGTGTGAAAAACAGTAATAAAGACCTTAACTTAACTTATCACTAACTACTATACTGTAATTAGAGCATAAGATGTACTCGCTTTTGCGACTGCGAATCTTAAACACACAAGATTCAAAATTGGATGCATACTGCGCGAATGAGGCACCCATCTGCGTCTTTGCACCACTATTGAAGCGCCACTCCTCTCCCGCATATGCCCAGCGATATAGGGTTGACCAGCCTGGGCATCAGATCAGGAAATCCTTTCTGTTCATGGCTTAGGGCTTCAGACTTCAGGCTTCAAGACTTAGGGTGTGGGGCTTTGAGGTTCAGCGTTGAATAGTCGAGGCTTAAGGATGAGAATCCTCTAGGAAACTATGACCGCTTGTCCTTGTCCTACCGAGCATATATAAGGCCTCTGGAGCTGTTGCCAACCGCCGCATTGATCAAGATCAGGCGCGGGTGTGCATGATTCACAAGATGGTGTGCGTAGTGCAGGTAGTCCGGCTCGAATGCGATAACCCATGCCTTGGGATCACTTCTTAGCCGTTGTAGAAAAGTTGATTCTCTGTGAGTCCCAACATCAATCAAGACGTTTGAACTGAGCGGAATGTCCAAGAGCGGCTGCTCACCATCTAGCAGCTTCGCGACAGGGGTGGTAATGACAAGGTGGCCATCGTCAATGGACAGGCGACCAAGCACAGGTCCAGATGTGGCCACCACCAAGAACAGGAGGAATCCCGCATGCCTAGAGCTCAAGTTCCACCCGGAACGAATCGTGTCAGAGGCAGCACGCACCATCATGAAGCCTAAACTGCACGCGCCATGTCATGGGACGCCAGACACAACTCCTTGCATGGCCGTGCAGCGCAGCGTTCCGACTCATTGACCAAGAGGCTTGGGCCAATGTGTTGGGGCAAGAAACGAAATGAGCAGTATTAACACCAAGAACATCATAAATAGCAATGCCCACGATAGCAATCATGATAACAATAATTGTGATTGCAAAAGAACAACCATAACAATCGCAATGATAAGAGTATCAGTAGTAGCAATAGCAATAGCCGTAGCAAGAGCAATAGCAATTGTAGTAGAAGTAGTAGTAGTAGTAGTAGTAGTAGTAGTAGTAGCGGTAGTAGTAGTAGTCGTCGTCGTCGTCGTAGTTGTAGTTGTAGTCGTAGTCGTAGTCGTAGTCGTCGTAGTAGTAGTAGTAGTAGTAGTAGTAGTAGTAGTACTACAACAACAACAACAACAACAACAACTACTACTACTACTACTACTAGCTGCAAGAACTGGACCGTAGAACCCCTAGCGGGCGCGCCAGCAACAACGGCAGAGTGGGAGGTGCCCCCGACGCCGGCACCTGGAGCAACGTGGCAAAGCACTTCGAATGGTGTATGACCGGGAGGGTGGAATTTGCTCGGCCTCAAAAAATAAGATGCTACATGCAAACCGTATGGTATTTTCTTGTAATTATCATGCAACGCCACCGTATCGCACGAAAACGGAGAGGTTTCCGATGATCAGGTATTCGGATGGGCGATCCTCTCCTCCGCCACCCAACTCCACCTCCAGCTGGGTGCAGTTAGACTGGGCCACAGAGTTGAGACGCAAAGGCGCTGCGCTGCTACTAAGAAGCTCGCACCTGCGCACATTGGAACTCGCTGGAACATCCCCAACCGGCACCCCAAAGCCCTGAACATGCAAAAGCACTTCAGCCCTTCAAATCCAACCCAAAGACCCAAAACCGACACCTATGTCCTTGGATAGGGGCCTCGGATGGTCGCCGGGCTCTGCGCATGGATGCCTTGAAATATGGGCGGGCAGGAGCCACGGGCACAAGAAAGACAGTGAGAGCATAGTATATACGACAAGCAGCACACAACAGCACCTTGCAAAGTTGCTCGTAGAGTTTTTGTTGCACGCAGTCTTCGTCTTGATATAGTCCTTGTACGACAAACACACAACAATAACAGCACAGCACTGTGCAAGTACCAAGCCCGACAACAAGCGAAGAACTGCAGCAGAGCGCAGCATTGCAATGGGATGATGCAATCTGCTGCAGCTTTGCATGGACTGCGCAGACATCGGGCACACATTACCTACACCTTTTGCTATGGAGTCAAAACCAGTGACCGGGACCAACATAATCGCTCAATGCATGACGCCCCCAACCCCCGTTCGCTGCAAAGGGCCCCCGCTTCTGGGCCCTGCGGGACTCAGGCTCTGCTGGCCTCTCAAGGTGCTGGGGAGCACTTGGGGGAACCTGAGAAAACGGTTTTCATTTTGGTAGAGTTTAGGGGGTAGAGGAATTGCCCGTCTGCGAGTCTGAGGGTTCAGTGGCTGCTGTGTGCCAAGCAACGAATCTTCTCACGACAGATACCAAGATACTTCTGAACATCAAGTGTTGCTAGGATCTGGTTGCGGCTCCTGCAGCAGCACTTAGAGCATGACTGAGGTCCTATTGCTCTAGATTTCCCTTTCTGCTTTTCCGACCCAACCTCGCGCCGCCGGCGTCGCTTGAGGAACTCAGAGGTGCGGCGAGGGTGTTTGTGAGGCTTTCCAGCTTTGCATTCAAACTGCAGTGGATTCACGAAATGTCGGCGGTAGCAAAAACACAAACAGAACCGTCCCTGTAAGCACATAGTTGCTTGTGGTGTATGCTGGTCATAATCCGGACATACCTGCAAGAGCAGTTACACCTGCTTAGACAACACACACACACACAAACACATCCACACACAAGTCCACTACATCCTCTTCACATGAATCGTCATCACTATCACCGCCATCATCATGTATACCAGGCGCAGGGAAGTTTGCCAGTCATGGAGAAGCCTAGACCTCCTAGGGCTCACGGCTGAAAGCTTCAGGCTTTGGGTGGTTAGGGTTTAAGGTTTATAGTATTTAGGGTTAGAGGCCCAAAGCTGTGTGGGGCTTAGGGTTCAGCATCTCGGGCTTCGGGTTTGGATTCAAGTTGAAGGGTTCAGGATTTGTAGGGCTTAGGGCAGTCCTTCTGCTTCTATCACGACTTAAACAACTTTGCATGAAGTTGCAGTTCCTTTCTCCAGCCCTCGAAACTCACGACTTAAAAGCAAAAAATCAAAGCAGATATCGGCGGTTCAGGGCTATATAAGGCTTCTAAGCAACAGGTGCAACCCAAACGACGCTGCTCCTTTTCT